CACCTGCATGGGGCTTCTGAAGCTGTGGTTTGTAAGGAGGCACCACCCAGCTTTAGAACTCCTGCCGTGCTCTCAGGTTCTAAGCACTGGCATCTTTGTGATACTGAAGAGAATAGGAATTCTAGGCAGAGGAACAAGATCATCTTGCTGTCACTGCTCAGTCAATTCTCTGATAGCTGCTGTCATGCAGTACCCCGGGGCTAGAAATCATCCTTCCCTTCCCTGCTGCCCCTGTGCCTAAGTCTCTTGTGATTATGTGACAGGGCCAGGTGAAGTAAGGCCCAATATGGATCTGATGCATCAGCCCCTTTTGCCTGACTTTGAACTCCTGTGCGGGTATGTTGCCCAGGGTTACTTGCCTTCCGTAACAGTTGTCTGGGAATACAAAAATTAGAGGAGCACAATGATGTACCACTTCACCCTTATAGGGTGTCTATAATTTTTTAAAAATGGAAAGTAAGTATTGGTAAGGTTTGGAGAAATTGAAATCCTTGTGCATTGCCGATGGGAATGTAAAATAAGCAGCCTCTCTGAAAATCAGTTGGGCAGTTCCTCAAGAAAGTCAAACAGAATTAGTGCACGACTGCAGGTGTAAATCTGAAAGGATACCACTGCCCCTAGGTATGTATCTGAAAAAATGAAGGCAGTATTTGAACAGGTCTCTTTATCCAAATATTCATAGAAACATTATTCACAACAGCCAAAAGGTGGAAGCAATTTAAGAGTTCATCAAGAGAGGAATGTCTAAACAAAACATGGAACATGCACACATAGAATGTTACTCAGGTACAAAAAAGGAATGAAATTTGACAGGTACACAACATCAGTGGATCTCAAAAACATATGCTTAGTAAAATAAACCAGACTTTTTTTTTTTCATATCAGGAATCAAACTCAGGACCTCAGGCTTGCCAGGCAGGCACTGAACCACTGAGCTAAATCCCTGGCCCCTTAGAAGGTATATTGTATTATGTGATTTCACATCCCTAGAATGGGCACGTTCAGAGACAGCAGAACAGAGGTTCCTAGGAACTGGGCACAGAGGGAAGAAGTATGGTTTCGTGGGTACGTTGTTTCCACTGGAGATGATCAAGCTTTGAGTAGAGTTGGCGGTGATGATGCCCAGTACTGAGTATATTACTTACATGCCACAGAACTATACCTTTGTGTGGTTAAATGATAAATATTCTTTTACAAATTTCATTATTTAAAATAAATTGAAGACATTCCCAGCCACAGGAGGGTTTATAATACTGTGCAGCATTGAGGCCTCAAGTGCACACAAACTTCAACTCCTTAAAAGCAGTCCCCCAAATGCGGTGGGGTGGTGGGGTGGGTATAATGGCTTTGCCTAAATTTGCCCTCTTGGGATTCCCAATTAAGAAGAATAATCCTACAGCTGATACATTGTTGAACTTGATAAGCTTAGAAGGTTAACTGACAAGACTCAGCAGGGAGCCTGGGTCCTTACTTTGTAAATATCCTCATCCTGTGCAAAGGAGGGCAAGGAAATTTTGTGAGTGCTAGATCTAGCCCTGGGAAGGCAGGGCAGTGTACAGTATAAGCTGGGAGAAGAGGCTGGTTTGCTGCTGCTTTTGCTCTGGCTGCTGCCTTGCAGTGTTGCCCGTGCCACACCACCCTGCCTTGGAGCCAGCTGATTATGGACTGAAACCTCCAAACACTGTAAGAAAAAAATTTTTCCTTCCTTCATGCTGGACGTTGCATATTTTGTCTCAGCAACAAGAGAAAAGTAACCAAGACACCCCTTGTCTTGTAAGCACCTGGCATTTATTGCTTTTCCTTTATCTACTCGGGGAAGTGCACATTCTTTATGCTTGCTGCACGTAGTTCTCATCTCCCCCTCAGCATACGGGATTCAGCATTGTCTCTCTTGCAGAGCCTTGGACCCAGACTGAGGATGTGTTGATTCTGGCTGCTGAGAGATGGCCAGTGGGGGCCAGAGACGTGGCTCTAGGACTGTACACAAAGCACTGCTGCTGCAGGGATGAGGACTAGCTATGGGAGCCGCTGGGCCAGCGATTAGCAAACTCCCTGAGACTAAAGTCAGTCCCAAGGACGCAGAATACCAGCAGCAGACTGTGTAAACGAGCTGACCTGGGAGATACAGCTCAGGCACAAGCACCTGGTGCGCACATGGGCCTGACTTTGATTCCCGTACCAAACAACCAAGTTAACCTCTAACTCAGTTGCATGTAACAGGTGTCCAGCCTTGGTATTGCTCCAGGTTAACTACAACACAGATTGCTCTGAGAATGTTTCCCTTTAAGTGTTCTCAGCTGTTTGTTTGCTTGTTTTGGTCTTTTTGAGACAGGGTTCCACTATGCCGTTCAGGCTGACCTTGAACTCATTATGTAGCAGAGGTAAGCCTCAAACTCATAATGGTCGTCCTACCTCAGCCACCCAAGTGCTGGGATTACAGGAATGTGCCCCCGTGCCCAGCTCACCTCATAATGTTTAAAGGCTCATGATAATTCTGTGAAGCCTTCCTTGCCTGTTTCCAAAGACAGGTAGTTATTTCTTACAACCTTTATATAGTGTGGCCACAACTTCTGTTCAGTCTCCTTAGACTATAAGTTCATTTTTAGGGCTTCATTATTTTTTTAATCAACCACTAACATATTTAAATATTGAAATAAATGCTAAACTTACCAAAGCACTACTGACAGTAAATAAGTACATCCAACACATTCTAGGAACCAATACTTTTACTAGGCTTTTTTTTTGTTTACTGACAAAAAAATAGAAAACAAAGTATTAGTTTCATAAGTCATAGTATAACACTTTCAAAATGAGACACTTGAAAATCAGCTTTGATACAGAACCAATTTACAAACTCACTCAGTTTAATAGAAGCTGAGAATGGTAGTATACACTTGTAATTCTAAAACTCTGGGAAGCTGAGGCAGGAGGTTGGCAAGTTCATGTCCAGCCTGGGCAACTTAGTAATAAGGATCTCATTATTTACCTCTGTCTCATTGGAGACTTGGCACAGGTGTTCAGGTTTGCTTAGTCGGCAAGTAAATGCTCACGAGTTTGTTAAAGTATCGTACTAAGAAGTCATGCTCTTCGTCTAATTCCTCACACTCTTGATTCTACCCCTCCACTATCAGATTTATGTCTGCCTCCAAAATTTGCCCACCTTGCTCTTTGTGGGAAGTCCCCGTTGGACACTTTCAGTGTGTGACAGAACGGCCTTAGGTTTACCCCAAACATGCTTTTTCTGGGTCTGGCACAATCGTTCATTCAAGAATGCCGAGGTCTTGATTCAAGGGTCCCGAGTTCATCTGTGCTCATCTGTAGTCTCTTCAAGAACACCATGATGGCCAGCACACAGCAGGTGCCTTTAGAGATGGAAGCAAGAGTGCATGAGTGGCCCTTTCTCCGTGGGGTATAGTGGATGCTCAGACAACCTGGAATCAGAAGGCAAAGATGCTGCCACCCTAGCATCCTGCGGACAGACCATGTCACATCTCTCAGCCTCAGCTCCATCGCCTTTAAGCTGGTGATAATTATGCCTATACTTGATGGACTTGTAAACATAGGACAAATGGAGATATAAGTACTTAGCACAGTACTTGATGCAGAGCTCAAGGAATGCTGGAGAAGGCGGCACACGCCTGTAAACCCAGCACTTGGGGAGGCTGAGGCAGAAAGACAGCTACAAGTTCGAGGCCATATGGAACTACATAAAAATCCAAAACCTGTCTGAAAAAAAAAAAAAAGGCTCAAGGAATATACTATTCATTCTCAGACTCCAGCCATCAAACTTAAGAGATCTCATTTTCCTGTCCACCCTTGTCCTGCTGTTTTAAGTGAAGTACCTGGGTCCAAATGATTTCTGTCCAGGATCCTCTAATAATTCAGGAGGCGGGTGATGAAACCTAGTTTGAATTTTGGCATTGTCACTCCTAAGCTGTATGAATTTGGATCTGTCTCTATCTGTAAACATAGTAACATCTGTTTCATAGCTTTGATCTGGGGATTGAACGACTTGTGTCAACTAAATTATATGACACTAAACTTTGGTAATCATCTCATTTTGCCAGGTAACAAAAGTAGCTGGAGTGTCCCTGAGAGTCACACAAGTGGCCATGCCTGCCCCACTGTGGACAGGAGTGCACATAGCTCATAGAGGCACCCCCAAAGCACAGGTCACACAGAAGTTAGGCCCTTCACGCTTCTGGTAGAGAACTCATGCTTTACCTGGAAATATTAGGTGAACATCTGAAACCGAACTTCTCCAACACTAATGCACTTGTTAAAATGCAGATCAGTACTGGAAATAGGTCTGGAGTTGGGACAAAACCTGTGCCAAGTCTTCAGGTGATACAGATGCTACTGGCACATGGACCATGCTGAGTAATGAATGGCTCAAGAATAAATGTGACTTAAGAACTATTTATTAAGTGGCTACCATGTGCCAGTTACTGAGAGAGCCAGGTGACCTTAGTCTTCAAGACCCTGTGGGATAAGTGTAATTTACCTGGAGTTTCCAGACAAGGAAACTGCAGCACAGAAGGTAGGCTGCATCATACAGCCAATAGGGGTTGGACCTTGGGTTCTCATTTAGGCAGCCTAGCCCTAGAGCTTGCTATGAAGTTGACTCCAATACTGTGGGGGAAATGACCTAAGAAGGGAGGATGTGCCAGGAAACACGAAGAGTACCAAAGTGAGTAGGTGAGGGACATAAAAAGAGAATGGACAGCATTTGGTGGCTGTCTTATTCAGGATGTACAGGGCTCAGATTTAATACAGGGCACAATTTATAGGATTATTTTGTAATATTCACCCAGAGTCAAATGCAAATTTGAGAGATCTGTCCACACACTAGACCCCAAGAATCCAGCTGAGAGGCTGGATCCCACAGCAATGCCCTGCAAGAGTTCAGCTGAAGACCTAGAGCCCATGGCAACGTCCTCCACAAATTCAGCCAGAGGCCTTGAGCCCACAACAATGTCTCATGCATGTCTCTTTCACAGATCTCCACTGGGAAGGCCCAAAAGTCAGTGACGGAAGTGAGTCTGAGCCAGCTGGGTGAAGAATCTGTGCCAGCAGGCTGAGGAGTCTACACTGGAGTCAGGAAGCAATGCTTCAGCCAGAGCTCCCCCAAAGAGAACCGCAGTCATCCTTAGTGACAGCAAGGACCTGAGCTCCTCTGATGAGAACAGCCGGATTTGTATCAGGAAACCCAACCTGACAAGCTTCTTCAGCAGAATGGACAGTATACATTTTCCCCTCCAGTTCTTTTACGCTGTTGGCAACAATCCTCAAGGAGCCCTTCCACACCCAGCACCGTGCTGATTCAGTTCAGTTAGGCTGTTACAAGTTACCCACTAGTTAATCTACCATAGTACAAGGGGAACCAGTTATGGGGACTCTGGATGCCTTGTCTAGGCAATTTGAGACACGGTTACACTTCTTGCTGAGATAGGAAACACAAGAGCAAGAACAAATTTCATGAGAAGGTGAGGTCAGTACAAAGTGGTCATCTGGGAGACGGCTCAGTTTATGATTTGGGTCATGGTTAAGCAAGGCTGCGAGTGACTGAGTTTCCTCTTTCAGCCTGTCCTGTTCTGCATTGATGGAGATGAGACTGGAATCCAATTCCTTGGACAGTGTCAAGAGTGGCTCTGTCCGTCCCACCAGGTATCTTGGAGCTCAGGAGCAGACAGAACACAAGATACTGACAGGAGAAGGGCAGGCTTTCTTTTCTTTTCTTCCTTTCTCCTTCCTTTTCTTTTCTCTTTCTTTCTTTCTCTCTCTCTCTCTCTCTCTCTCTCTTTCTTTCGTCAGTGCTGAGGGTTGAACTCAGGGCCTTTGCACAGGTATATTCGCAGTCCCCAGCCCCACCTGAGACACGGTCTGTCAGTAACTTGGCTGTGCTGTGCCTGAACTTGCAGTCTTCCTGCCTCGGCCTCCCAGAGTGCTGGGATTATAGCTATGTGTTACTACACCTGACTGTTTTTGGAGTTCTGTGGCAACTAAGTCTAATGAACTGTCCCCTGCCTCTATATCAGCAGAAATAAAGATAAACAAGCTGAATAAAGGTTGGGAAATATTTATTTTCTTCAAACAAGATCATAAATAACAAAGAAACAAAGTAGGTCCCAAACTTTGGACCATGCAGCAGGACAGGGAAAGGAAGCTGTTGGGTGAAAGGTGGAGGGGGACTACCTAGACAGTCACAAAAAAGATGGGCTTTAGGAGACTTCCCCTCCTTGCCCTTGAAAATGGCGTGCCTGGGCAGGAGGAGAGACCTCAGTGCTAGGATGAGGCAGGTAGACAAGGGCAAAGACTTGGGGTGCAAGGTTGTAATGTAGAGTGACGTGGAAACCACAAATGGCAATGAGAAGGTAGAAAAGGCAAGTGGGCACTCTGCACACCTCCAGGAACCAACTACGAAAACGGTTAAATTACTAAAAACAATCCCACAGGCTTCAGCCTGTGGCTTTGTGCATGGGCTGTATTTAACCTGGGTTGCTCTTGGGCAGCAAAGGGCTCAAGAAGCCCCTGGAGCAGCCTGGCCTCAGCCCGGGGCAGGTGCCCAGACATGTGGGAGTAGGATAGTGGGCTCACCCAGATGGGAGGCCATGTGCTTGGACTGGCTGGACCTACTTTTCAGGCTGATTTCTTGTGATGCTTGCTATCCACCACCTCTCCCTGTACCTAAGGCTGGGATCCTGGCTTCTCTGGGTCTTCTGAACCTGTTAAGAATAAGACTGGGATAAAAAGGTACCTGACTGGTATTTTATTTGAAAGGGAGGAAATAAGGATCACCCTGTGCACTGTCCATCCCATGAGGTAGGGCAGGACCATGCCAAGAACAACATCAAGGAATGAAGGTCCCTGAGCCTGAGGAAACATTTGGACCCAGGTGCTTTGCCAGATGCCATGAATCAAAACCCAGGGTAATAGCTCTGGAGGCTTCACCCTAAGCAAGGCAAGGAAAACAGGCAGGGCTACCCCTGCCCAGAGAAGGGGTAAGAGCTGAGGACTCTAGACTGGGAAGGCCAATGTTGGACAAGGGGCCTGGAAAACAATGCTTTGGGTAGGAATACTCGACAGGGTTTATACAGCTAGGGATGCCCATCTATGGGGAGCCGGTGTCACATGGCTGGGCAGGATGGTAAGGAGGAGACAGCGGCATCACAGTGGCCTCTGGTGCGATGTATTTACAACAGAGCTCAATGTTGAGAGCAGGGTGGAGAGCAGGTCACTAACAGCCAGGAAACACACTGTCAAGAATAAAAAGAGAAAGGAAAACAATTTAACCATTCCTAGCTTTCCCCATTTACCATGTCCTCTTTTGGAAGCCTTGTTCTATTTACTGCTATGGCCCACGCACATCTGTCTCCTCACCGTCACGTCCACAGCTAGACATAGTGTCTGCTCTCAGTGTGTTGCTCATTGTACCAAGGCTCCAATAGCCCAGGGACCTCAGTCAAACAGTATTCAGAGAAATTAAATCTTTATGGTTAATTTCTGGTTCCCAATGGTTCAGCTGCTAGAGGTATGATGTGACATAAGAATGTCACTTCTGTGCCTCACTGTACCAGGCTCCTGTCATCGTCTCTGATGCTTAACCATTCTGTCACTCTCATCATCAAGGCCCTGGCATTCAGAGTGTCTGAGGCAGAGAAAATTTCTCTAAGTTTTCTGAGGGTAGGGAGCCAGTTTCCCTGAACCTTCTGCCTTTCCAATGGCAACAGTGACTCCTTATGATGCTAGTGAAACAACCACCTTCTGCAAAACAGACTAAAAGCTCACGAGGTATGACCAGACTGCCTAGTGAGGGTCAACCTGTCTCTCCTTCCTCAACAAACAGCCTGATGGTCTCTCTGATCAGTGAAAAGCTTCCCAGGGAAAAGGTCTGGCCCCTAGTCTTCCTCCAGCCAGAGGCGTTTTTTAGTTTTGCCTCCTTTGAGACATACTGTAAAACCTAAAGGCATTTTTGGGAGTTGAACAGTATGTAGGAGGTACTACTGACATCCAGTGAGTAGAGTTCAGGAAGCTGCTCAGCCTCCTACACAACAGTGCACACAGCAGCCCCCTACAACTATCACACATCCTAAAATGTGCTGGGTTGAAAACCCTGCTCTAGACTTCTATATAAACTCCACAACTGGCTCAGCTCTGCTCAGCAACAGCAGGAGAAGACATAGAGAACTTCTCTAGAGAAGGACTCATTCCCAACCTAGTTTCCTCAGAGGAAGAATATTTCAAAAAGAAATGCACATCGCATTGAGGGGCAGGAGAGAAAGCATGACTTAACCACAGCAACAATCTACTAGCACAGCATATACAACCCCATAACGTGGCTTTGTAGAAGTGCACACAGCAGGGTCGATACTGAGGAAGAGGTAAAAAGATGGTGACCCAGACCGAGCAATGGTTAGGCAGAGGTGATCACAGCCCAGTGAATGCCTATGTGTTAGTGTGGGCCACCACTGCTGGGCTCCTAAACCCTTGCATCTCCTTACCACTGGAATCCACCGATGGGCTCTGCAAACCTGTGTCGGATCAGGAAAGTGGCAACTGCTTCAGCTACCTGAAAAGAGAGGAGATATTCCAAGTATATGAAGTCAGTGATGGTGCTTAGCCGTGGAAGTCCCGCAGGCTTCTTCTGGAAGGAAAAGCTTGAGGTGTCCTCATGAATCCCATCAGTCTGGGTACCCTGATATCAAAAGGGCCTGGGCTAGGAGACTCCTCCCCTCCATCACTGCCAGGAATTTGTCCAGACAGGTCTAGACGAGTGAGGATTTATTTATCTCTTACAGTTACAAAATACTTTCTTCCACAGGAGGAATCCTTATTAATTCCCACGACTACAGTGTGCAATTAATGTGCAATCTCAACCCTCATCCCTCCCTTCTTCAATCTGGCTTTTAAAGAGGGTAATGGAACAGCAGAGTTTTAAAAGCGCTAATCTTTGGACTATGGGATGAAACAGCAGTTCCTCAGCCAAGACACACAAAGCCAAGATCATAGGCTGCTGCCAGGGAGATGCTTGGAAGGCTGATGAAACTGCACACACCCTGTAGCAGCTCCTTCCGGTAAGCACTGAGATTCAGGGGCTTGTCCAATCTGCCCTGACATCCAAGGTTACTCTCACAGATATCCTTTTATAGTCCTTAGGCACCAGACTCACCTTGTCAGGGGCATCCTCGTGGACTGCATGGCCACACTGGGGTAGGACCTGCATCTGGAACTTCCCTAGAAAGGAAACAAAGGCAGGAAAGCTCCTGGATTTAAAAGAGCCCTCGCCTTACCATCTCTGGAGCTTCACAGGTCACTCCAGGTATCCAGCACTTTATGCCCAAAAAACCTTGGAGCCAATTACAAAGACTGTGATGAGGATGTTAATACTTGTAATTGTAACCTTTCATTTTCCCAACACTTTTCCCTTCCTTACTTAGTGTACTTTTACTTTAAATAAGACACATAACAGAAAATGTCTGTCCTCATGAGACACAGTCCAGTAGGGGAGTAAACTCAAAAACTCATTTGAATGCAGCACTTAGTTCACATCATGACACTGGGCACACAGGTGGAGCTTCACAAGCTTAGGAAAGGGGGCTTCGAAATCCAGCAGGTATCCAGGAAGGCTTCCACAGAGGGAAGAAAGGAAAGAAGCCTCAAAATGGTATTTGTTCCTCGAAATACAAGAAGGTTGACATGGTGTTTGTGAGAACGGTTAGCAGTAAGCAGTAAGGCTAGAGATAGGCCAGAAAACAGGGGCAATATTAAGGATTTTGTAAGCTACATTAAGATTTGTGAAATTTTATCATTATAAAAAGTTGCTATTTGAGTATTTAAGAGCCAGGCATTGTATACTGACTACTTTCTCATGAAAGTCTTATGAAACACTGTAAGCTCACAACTAATGTGATAACTATTAAGCATGAACAAATGAGTCAAGGGTATAGGTAAATAACAGAACGCTTGCCTAGCATGCATGAGGCCTGGATCAGAGACTCTGGGCTCAATCTGCAGCAAAAACAAAAACCCCAAAATGACAGGGGAGGGAGATAAGGATCCCCAAAAGGATAAAGGATAAGGGACCTACAGTGTCTCTATGCTTAGAGAACTGACTTTCGGAGCCTCAGTTTTTCCATTCATAAAATAAAAGAATATGCTCTGGAAGTCCTAATCATCATATTTGATGGTTCTTGCAACAATTACACAGTGCTTCAAGAAGTTTCTATCCATCCTTAAAATTTGATTCTCAAATCTACCCTATAAAATAACCCAGGATAAATGCTAAAATTCTTTCTGAGATGATGAAACTGAAGCCATAATTAGTGAACTATCTTGCCCAGGGCTGCCTGACTAGTGAAGGACTGGAGGCCATTCCATTCAGTGAAACCCAATTAATGCCTCTTTTGCTGTAAGCTCTGGGGTCTCCAGCCCAGGCATCTCTTCCCTAGATCTCTCTGTTCTACAGGATATTTCTCAACTCATTTATTTATTCTCTATATTCATTTGATACTTTTTTAAAAAAGAAAGTTTTGCCATAATCCACTCCAAAGGGACAGGAGGACATCTAATAAGGAAACAGATATCATATGCTTGCTGGATACAATGAAAAGCACTGTTTTCAGGCTCTTATTTGACCCATATATTCTCATTCAAATCTCATTTAACTGTACTAAGATACATCATCTCCATTTTATCAGTGAAGAAACTCAAGATTAACGAACCTCGTAATTCATTCTGCCACAAAACCAGTAACAAGGATTCAAACCCAGGACTGCCTGATTCTGAGGCTGACTAGTGATCAACACTGGTTTTAAATGGTATTCCAATTCAGGTCAACTGTTTTCAGACAGTCTTGGGATCTTGTCAGATTCTTATGTTCACCCAGTATCAAACCCAGGTCTTGCACAGAAAAAGTGCTTAGGAAAGGGTTGTTTTGAATTGAATTTCAGAAAACAGAATGCATCTAAGCTCCAAATTACCAATATCAGTGCCTTTAAAATCACAGTCCCAGCTCATGGTCCTGCCTTAGGAATCAGGTAGGAAAGGGCATGAGAGTTCGGTACACAGTCATTCAACAGCCTATTAAAAAACTATTATGAAGTAACTTAGTTCCTTTTTCTCTGTTCCTAGTAAAGATGTCCAGCAGGTTTAATAGACAGGTTCATCAAAGAAGGGTGAGTAGAACAGTGAGCTTTGGGATTCATCAGGATATAAATGAAAGCCATGAGATTGTACAGGAAGAGTGAATAGAGAAGGAAAGCCAAGAACAGACTCTGCTTACGCCTGAAACCTTGGAGGCACCCCTTCTCCCCACCGTCTCAGAGCTGTATCGGCCATCTCTACCTTCGCCCAATGTGCACGCATACTAAAGCATACTCCACAAACCTCGGTCCACTGCCTCCACACGGCAGTGCTCGCATGGCACTACTACACTCACACTTCATGGTCCCTTTGAGGCTCCAGTAATTTTCCTCATTTACACATTTAGAAAACTGATGCTGAGGAAGGTCGTAAAGAAATATTCAAAAGCCATTCCTCCCAGCTTTGGAGCTTTTACTTTTACCTCTTCACATGCTGTCTTCTCAACAGATTTTGTAGCTTTTGGTATCTACATTATCCTAGACATTTCCCTTTCCTCAAAAAATCCATACACATTTACACTTTCCTAAAAAAGTCTACGTTATTCCTAAACAATAATGAAAATACTGATCAATATTTAGAATATCTCCATTCACAGTATTATATGCCTATATAGTACTTTATTATAACTTTCAAAAACACTGCCTTGTTTTAATTCTTGTAACTGAGACATCAGTGGTGGTAAAATCCTCATTTATACGTGGAAAAACAAAAAAGGCAATCAATGCCCAGAAAAGGAAAATACTGCTTGTAATTATGCAGCATGTTTGGAGGAGAGGTAGATGTCAAGCACAGGTCTGACCCAAGATCATTCTCTCTCCACTGTATCTCAGCATCAAAAAACTGCCTGTTTCTTTGCCTTCAGAAAAGGGTCCAAGGACATACTTTATGGATAACTTACCTTGCATCTGGCCAATAGTTAGATCTTTATCCAACCTATCAACCCCTAGAACAAAACAAGAGAATTCACAAGTAGCTTATTAGAAAAGGCCCTATGAAATAAGTTTTACTATTCAAGTACTGAGACAAAATTGTTACAAAGTTAGAAACATGATGCATCATTCTCAATGCATCTCCATGTTAGTCCTAACTCCTAGACAGTGTATTTTCACCAGATGAAACTTTCAAGGTTGAGATTTCTCTGCATCAGTTTTGCTCATTTAAAGTGCTTTCTGGAAAGGTTTTACTGTTTTGATTCTTACAATATTTAGAATATCATTATATTACTAAATCTAGCCCTAGGAGGAGGACTGGGTTTGACCAGGTATAAAAGGCAGGCCAAAATAAGGCAGGTCATCCCAGATGGAGGCTTGTGCTTAGCTAGGTTAGGGACTGGAAGTGGAGAGAAGAGCAAGCAGACAAGAAAGTAGATGGCACTCAAATTTGAAAGTCACTTCCCATTTTATTAGTTTTAATGCAATCATATCCAGATAACAATATACTCATACTACCATGCACTGAACTGTGTTCTCCAAAATTCAAGTTGAAGCCCTGAATTATAATGTGACTATTTTAAAGACAGGGTCTATAGGAGGTAATTATAGTTACATAAGGTCATAAATGTGGATCTCTGATACAAAGGGATTAAAATTCTTGTAAGAAGAGATACCAGAGAGTGCACTCTTGCTTCCTCTTAGCCATGTGAGAGCACAGAAAGTAGCAATCTGCAAACCAGGAAGAGAATCTGTATCAGACTCAACTTTTACTGGTACTCTGACTTGGACTTTCAGCCTCCAGAATATGAAGAAATATGTATCTATTGTTTAGGCCACCCAATCTATGGTATCTATAGCAGCCTAGATGACATATATACACTTATACTTACCAGCCAAGAGCAGCAATTTTGGAATAGGGCAACTAAGAAAGAGATTGGATAAGCCTCGGAACCAGCCATCCCAGTATTTTTCTGTTTTTGCCAGTTCAATTCTCCAGGTATATGGATGGTCTTTCTTGGTCTGGAGGAATAAGAGCAAGTTCTGAGACTCTCAGAGTAACCCCTGTAGGAACAGGATAAAAACTAGGTCCCTGGGAAGCGGAAAGGGAAGGAAACTAGCACTTGTGAACAATCTACTGTAATGCAGACATTTGATACACATTTCACCCTTCTAACAATGTAATCCAAAATATAATTATTTAAAGAACAAAGATAGAAAGCAGGGAGGCAGACTTACTGGAGATGGTAAGGGGACTGGAGGGCAGGGAAAAAACAGGAAGGAGGGAAAGGGGAAATAAATACTAATTCCCCAAGATGAATCTGATTATTATTTTAACCATAAAAATAATAAATAAATAAAAATAAGTAAAATCAATGAGAAAACTACTAGAAATTTAGCAAGGTCAGATGATATAAGATTAATACATATACTGTAATTGGTTATATTTCTATGTATTGATAACAATTTATAATTATGACAAAAATGTAGGAATGAAGTTAAAAACAGTGTTATAAAAATATCTCAATGTAAGTTTAAAAACACTGCTTTGCTTAAGTAGTCTAAATATCAAAAATACCCCCCAAAACTCTATAAAAGTCTTCAAAGATTTTTATCTTAATTTTTAGATAATTATAAATTTTCTTTTTATTTCTAGTAAGCTTCCCTCTACCTCTCTTCTGTCTCTTGTTTTAAAGATATGATGGCCCTCTATGTTGCCCAGGCTAGCCCCAAACTCCTGAACTAAGTGATCTTCCTGTTTCAGCCTCTCAAGTACCTGGGATTTGGGGTACATACCATTATATTCAGCTACTTCGGTTATTTTCAATGAACTTAAGAAGCTTTCTTAAGAACACAAAGATAGTAAGCTGCAAAACAAACACTGACCTCTTCTTACACCCAGTTGACAAAAAGGACATACCATAAAAAGAGTAATTATAAAGACTACACTGCAGGCTGAAAAAAAGCTAACTATACAACATGAAGTAACAGAAGCAGACTACAATACATCATCTGAGTTACGATCCCACGTAGAGGAAAGAACCGCCTGGGGAAATTGCAATTTTATTTGTTCGTAGAATATCTTTCTTCTCATATTTTGATTTGTGAAAACGAAAATATCCACGCAATAGTAATTCTAAAACAGGAACTACTGCACAAATATGAAAAACATCAACAGCTGTTACACTGTGGCAGTTGGAAAGTTGATGGGCACACAGCAGATGCCAAACATGGGCTGAACAAAATAATTGATATTTTATACTTTTCCACTGTAGCCACTTTATGAAAATTTCCAAGTGAACCTGAGACAGTAACACACTATGTTAAACATCACTGGATGGCTGTGATATCCATATTACCAAAAATTATCGACAGATTCAATGCAGTCGCCATCAATATTTCTTTCTTTTTTTTTTTGGTGCCGAGGATCGAACTCATGACCTCACACTTGTCAGGCAGGTGCTTAAGCCACTGAGCTAAATCCCCAGCCCCCTCATCAATATTTCAATGGCATTATTTTGAGGATTTTTTATGATCTTAAAATCATATGGACTCTCACAAGATCTGGAATAACTAAAGAATTTTGACAGAGAGGAAAATTAAGGAACGTAAGCTTCCTGATTTCAAAACTATTACCAGACTGGAATAACTAAAAGTTTGGTACTGACATAAAGACAAATACACCAAATGCGCAGAACAGAAAGCCCAGAAATAAACCCTCACGTATATAGTTCAAATGACCTTCAAAAGAGCATTAAGACAATGCAATGGGAAAAGGATAGTCTCTTTTTTTTATTGGTACTGGGGATCAAACTCACAACCGCCTGCTTGCAAGGCAGGTGCTTATGCCGCTGAGCTAAATCCCCAGCCCCAAGGATAGTCTCTTTAACAAACAGTACTGAGAAAACATAATGAAAGATATATAGATGGACAAAAAAGCATATGAAAATATGCTCAACATTAATAGTCACTGGCCAAGTACAAATCAAAACCACAGTCAGATACCATTCTGTACTCAGTAGGATGACTATCAAAAAGAGAGACAATAACAGTGCTGTTAACAAAATAAAGAAACTGGAAACCTCATATAGTGCAAATGGAAATGTAAAACATAATGCTTTTAAAAACATTTTCTCAAAAGATTACACATGGGGGCTGGCTATATATTGTAATTTTTATGTTCCAATTGGTCAGAGGTACAGAAGTGTTTTATATCTGATAGTTACCTAAGTATCTCTTATGATTAGTGTTTCTACTCTCTAAAATATCTAATGGCAGACAAAAAGATCATCATCTCTCCTTTCCTTCCTCATGGAACCATCCCTTAGCCCAGCTTCCCTTTACCTACCTCCATGTCATCTTCCTTTTTCCTTTTGTTTACTGACTCGCTCCCTTCTTCATCTTCTTCTTCCTCCTCTATAATTCCTTCCACTATAGATTTTGAGCTTTCAGGACTTGTAATTCCTTCACACCTAGATTTTTAAAAAGAACAATCACATTTCTCTTTTTATCACAAATAAACCCAAAGATACTCATACTTATGGCCCTTTATAATCAACCGTTAGCTCAGACTTAACACTGGAAGTGTTAAGGATGTGAAAATGTGTATTTCCTGGGCTGCGAAAGATTATGACTGATGTATGATTCTACTCTTTCTTTAAGAGCTCATTTCCAATCCTTATAACCAATACTGACCCATCATCCTGAGGCATGGTAACAAGAGTCTTATGGCCATTCTCTGATACAATCTTTATAACAATTCTATGAAATAGACCCTGAAGACTTAAATGGAATTATTGGAATTACTCACCTCAATGAGTGGGTAAGACTGGGATGTAAATTTAGGCCAACTAACTTTAAAATCTGGTGTTTTTCTGCTATACTCTGCTTACAGTACCACAAGGCTCAAATACAATAATAATAGGTCCCGCTTTTTAATCAGCTGATAAAAACCAGCAATTATAACAACCAGGGCCAGCTGAACCTTTCAGATTAGGTCACTTGATCCAACCAATTACTGTGGTTATTTCCTCTAAAAAATGGTTATCTCTTTATTATGTAATTAGGCAGAAAAATTGTTATATAAATAGCTCATACTATAATTCATTTTAGAGAGAATTTGATGGGAAAAAAAATGCACTGACAAGTGCTAAAGGTAAAAATCCCAAGTGCAGCTACTGTCAGTATTTGCTCATGATAGAAAGGGATTTGTTGTTTTGCCCTTGAGAAGTGAGACAGAATGGAGAACAGGGAAAGAACAAACAAGAAAGTCACTGTGATAAACTAAAGGGCCAATAGTAAAGAATGGTAACTTCTGTCTTCTCTATCCAGTATAACAAAGAAACACATGCTCTGAATTTCCAAAGCCTATGGATAAAAAATTCCAAAGATGAAAAAGAGTAGAAAGGTTCTGACTATCTGAAAATATCCAAATATACATATTCACAAACCACTTGAAATAAAATTAAGGAGAAAACACCACTTGAAATAAAAGTTTATGAACAGTGAACTATCTGTACATAAGCCATGTAATTTAATCATAAAACACTCTACTACTTGTTTATACTAGTTACATTTTATTTAGACACTGAGAAGTACGTGGTTCAATGTTTGAACATCTCAAAGCCTCTGCATTCTATCTGCCTGATAATACCACTGAAGTTGCCCTTTTAGGTATAAAATTCATACTCTAGAACTTGAAGTCAACTACAGAGAAGTCTGATTTTCAGTTATATTATCCACTAGCTATGTGGTCCTGGGAAAGTTATTTACTTCTCTGAACTTCTATTTCCTTGTCTCTAAAGCTTATCACAGCTTGAGGTTTCACTCAGAAAACTCCAGATTACTGGAAATTATATTGGGCAAGTAACTAAGATTTCATAACAAACAAGCATGGAAATTGGCAACACAGTAAAAGAACATATGGGCTAAAAGATACTTAAGAGATATATCAAGCTGGGTGTGAAGGTACACTCAGCACTAGAGAGGCTAAAGATGGAGGATTACATTGAGTTTGAAGCCAGGCGAGGCTACCTAATGAGTTCAAACCCAGCCTAAACTACACAGTGAGACCCTGTCTCAAAAAATAAAAATATTAGATTCTCCAAAAGATAGCAACCAAATTCATGTATTTACTTTTTTACTCTAATTTTAAGTTTCAAAAATATTTCAGAAAGGCCAGAAGAGAGGATTTTGAATGATTTCACCACCAAGAAATACATTTTTAAGGTGATGAATGTACTAATTATCCTGCATTAATCATTATAACATATATACAGATTCTGAAATATATTGTACCCGTGAATATGTAAAATTAACTATAAATAAAAGCTTTAAAGCATTATTTGAGATAATCATAAATATGAATACTGATTTGATTTTGGTGATATTATGGAACTGTTAATTTCTTTTTTAGGGGTGACAATGTCATTGTGATTATACTTGGTGGGGCATGCCTACAATAAGAACTCTATGAAGCTGAGGCAGCAGGATTACAAGTTCAAGTCCAGCCTGGGCAACTAGGAGACATTATGAGATCTGATCTCAAAATTTAAAAAAAAATTGAAAAGGGCCAGGAGTGCAGCTCAGCATGAAGGCTCTGGATTTAAATTCCTAGGACCTAGTGAAACTTTACAGAGGAAATTTTATTTGGAATTCGCTTCAAAATATTTTGTTCTTGAGGGCAAGTAAATAGACACACAGATGAAATAAGACTTCTCATGATTTAACAACAACTGAAAATGGAAATACAGAAGTTACATTGGGTTCACTGTATTATTCTAACGTATTTGTAACTTTCCTATAATACATGGCTTTAAAACTAAATGTATAAAATTCATATGGAAACACAAAAGATCCAGACTAGCCAAAGCAATCCTAAGCCAAAAAAGCAAGACTAGAGGCAGCACAATACCTGTCTCCAAATTATACTACAAAGCCACAGTAAAAACACAGAAATAGTACTTATACAAAAAAATAGACATATAGAACAATGGACACAGAACAGAGGACACAGAAGCCAACCTACACAGCCACAGCTATCTGGTTTTGGAAAAGAAATAAAAAAATTTACACTGGAGAAAAGACAGCTTCTTTAAAAATGGTACTAGGAAAACTATATATCTACTCATAGAAGATTGAAAGATAGGTCCCTATCTTTCATCCTGTACAAAAATCAATTCAAAGTGGATCAAAGACTTACATGTAAGACCTGAAATTTTGAAGCCACTAGAAGAAAATACAAGAGAAACAACTGAAGCTACAGGCACAAACAAAGAGCTCTTGAATAGGACTCTAATAGCATAGGAAATAATAGCAAGAATCAACAAACAGTACTATATCAAATTTAAAAAGTTCCACATAGCAAATGAAACAATCAACAGAGTGAAAAGACAACCTATAGAATGGGAGATAATCTTTACCAGCAACTCTATCTACTTCTTTATATATTCAGAACATATAAACAACTCAAAACACCGAAACAGACAGCCCAATCAATAAATGAAATAAAAAATTGAACAGATACTTCTCAAAAGAGATAGTACAAATAGCCGAAAAGTACATAAAAAATTGTTCAACATCTTTAGTCATTATGGAAATGCAAATCAAAGCTACACTGATATTCTATCTTATGCCGGGCAAAATGGCTATCATCAAGAATACAAAAAAAACCAACCTAACAAACAAACAAAAAACCAAGAAATGCTGGCAAGGATATAAAGAAAAAGGAGTCTTTCTGTATGTTGTTGGTGGCAATGTAAATTACTATAGCCATAATAGACATCAATAGGGAGGTTCCTTAAAACACTAAATATAGAACTACCACTTGATCCACCACTACTTCTCCTTAGAAATAACAGATGGAATTAAAGTCAGCATTCCATAGGGATGCTTGTATACTCATGTTTACTGCAGCACAATATACAACAGTCAGGATATGGAACCAGCCTAGGTGCCCATCAATAGGTGAAAGGATAAAAAAAAATGTGGTGCATATATACACAGTGGAGTATTATTCACTCATAGAAAAGAATATATTGTCAATTATAGAAAAATGGATGGATTTGGAAATCATCATGTTGAATGAAATAAGCCAGACTCAGATAAATACTAAATGCTCTTCCTAATATGTGGAATTTAGAAAAGATGACAAGAACCAGAAGTGAGACTATTATCAGACAAGAGGAAGGGAGAGGGGGAAGGAAATAGGGGTGCAAGGATGGGCAATAAGGAGCATAAATGTGAGAAAAATATATATTATAAGCATTATCTTCTGGCCAAAAACATGTGAAACTAGAAAGGAGGATGAGACAAGGGAGGTGATGGGAGGAAATTGTTAAAGCACAAATCTGCCAAAATGAAACCCGTTAATCTGTATATTCCATGTGCACTAATAAACATGCAGAAAAAATAAGACAGTATATATAAAATACTTTGAACAGTGCCTAACAAATAGTAAACATTCAATAATGCCAATATTATTTCATCTAACTTTTGCAGTCTTGTTTTTTCTACTGGATAGATTTTCTCAATTCACCTAAAGTTTATTTTGTGCTACACAGCAATACCCAAGACTTAGGTAGCTCTACCAAAAAAAGACCAATTGGGCTAAATAATCTTAGCTTACCTTTAGTATCTGGCTTTTACTCTGGCTGTGTCAGTTTTTATACTGCAATTTCTTTACAACAGGGTTGGCTTAGGAGACTGTTGCCAGAATAAAACATCTGCCAGCACTAAAGTGAACACTTAAGTTTTTAATGTTTATTCTCTGGAATGTTTCAATTTTTAACATCAAGAGTTATCTAATATAATAAAGTATTATGGAAACACCATAAAAAATGCTAACTGGTTTTGAAAGGGAGGGAAGAAAAGAAGGGGGTGAGGGAAAAAAAAGAAATGAGGGGGAAAGGATGAGGAAAAGAAGGAGGGAAGGAGAAGGAAGAGAAGAGAAGAGACGAGACGAGACAGAATGGTAGAATAGGTATATGACTGAAGAAGCAATCTATAACTCCCATATCATAGTCCGGCCTTTAACCATCCAAAAAGAAAAAAATAAGACTTACTGTTTGACTTGGCCAACCATTGAGACACGGGCAGACTCCAAATTTCGAATCTGGCCACTCTTCACACTAACAGAGAAAAGTGAGAAATGAGAGAGGAGCTCATTCAGCATTTACCATGTCACATCATTAGAATCAAATGAATAATTCTGCAAATTCTATGGCATCTAAATCCCATGTCGCTTACTATGAAGGTTATCACTGCTCTCCTGACTATTATAACTATAACATGATAGTTGGTAAAAAGTGAAGACATTGTGGCCATTTAAATTGGCAAATATTTTCCAAGACAGTATTATGTGCCAGGTCTGTGCTCAAAAATACAGGATTCAGCAGACCAAAAAAAAAAAAAAAAAAAAAAATCACAAACAGCATGTGTTAATATAATAAGGCAAGATTCAAAAGAAGCACTTTATTCTGAATGAGAACATTAAAGAAAATTTCCCCCAAATCTGGCCTAAACTGAAAACTGAAGATAAGAAATTGAACAGAAAATAAAAGTGTGGTCAGAACAATATAGACAGAAGCATTATGAGCAAAGGTATGGGGATATAAGAGTTAGCAGGAAGATGATTCTAGAGAAGTGAGTACAAGGGAGACCAAAGGGAGAGTGTGGCAGATCAGGACTGCAGGCGAGGGCTAGCTCCTTAGAGGCCTAGAAGCTGCTGTGGTCTTGTGTTTTTTTTTTTTTTTTTGTCTTTTTTCATTTTTATCGGTACCGGGGATCAAACTCACGACCGCCTGCTTGCAAGGCAGGTGCTTATAATGCTGAGCTAAATCCCCAGCCCCCACTGCTGTGGTCTTGTAATGGTTGCATAGTGTGTCAACTTGGGAAGTTTACAAGTTTAACTAAGCAATTCAGCAGAGTCTTCACTTTGTAAACATTTTCATCCTGTGAAGAGGAGGGCCCAGAGATGGTACGAATACTACATACACCCTGCACTAGAGGGTGGTAGCCTCTTACCATATAAGGGAGAAAATGTAGAGGGAGGGGGAGAAACTCCCTGAAGCAAGCCACAAAAAGAACATACTTCTTTAAATTTCTTAGTTTTAAAAACTTGTGCAAATTGGGCTGGGGATTTAGCTCAGCGGCATAAGCGCCTGCCTTGCAAGCAGGCAGTCGTAAGTTTGATCCCCGGTACCGATAAAAAAAAGGAAACAGAAAGAAAAAAAAAAAAAAAAAAACTTGTGCAAATTAGGAGCTGGGAGTGTAGCTCAGTAGCAGATGCTTGCTTAACATAGGCTAAGTCCTAGATTATATCCCTAGCACTGCACATGCACAGACATATATGCACATACACCTGCAAACACCCCCCACACAACACACACATACACACCCCTCATGCAAATTTTAGGCCCTCTCTAGACAGCTATAGTAACAGTTTCTTACTATAGCTATAGACAAAAGCAATCTGAATTACTTCCTCATTTTTCAATTAACAGACCCTATATATCTACTGATTCATGGTTTGTTTCATTGTTGTTATCTGCTGTGCTAGGGATCACACCAAAGCCTCAATGCTAGCTAAGCAAAGCAAAGAGTAGTGGTATACATCTATACTCCCAGCACTCAGGAGTCAGAGACAGGAGGGCTGCCTAGAGTTGAAGGCCAGCCTGTACTGCATAATGAATTCAAGGCCAGCCTAAATAACAGAGCAAGATCCTTCTCAAACAAAACAAAAGAAACAAAACCACAAGGCAAGTGCTCTACCACTGACCTAAACTCTCAGCCCCTTCATGTTGCTTAATACTGTACACGAAATTTTCTGTTCCTATTAAAAGCCAACCTTGGGTACTAGTTCCCATTCTTCTTGTTTCTGAGAGGGTATGTGTTTCCTTCAGTTATCATCTCCTCCTCTAGCCTTATTTTTTTTTCCTCTAGTACATGTCATAAACACCAGTCTTTAAACAGATTTCCATTGCTACATTCATTACTGGCTACAGCTTTCCCCATTTGGCTATCTTTCCTTAACCTTTATCCCCCACTTATTAGGCTTACAAAGTTTTAATCTCCCATTTATTTCTTGAGATTTCTTTTGTCAAGCTTATTTTTATCATGCCAAATCCAATGATCAGCTGATTTAACACAAACGCTCTGTTTACAATCCTTACAAGTGTCTCTTAACCAATTTCTCATTTCCTATACCATGTCCATTCCACTTATTTCCCTATTTTATTTTGGTGGCTTCATGATGCAAATCCCTGTATCTGACTTCAAAGTCCCACTTCTTAAAACACCTCCACTTTCATTAGAAAGACCAAGAGAGCAAAAATAGTAATTTAAAAATTTTCTTTGTATTAATCTGAAAGAGGCAAAATGGCCATGAATCATAAATCTGGTTTGGAATATCCAATGGTATGCAAAACAAAATCATCAAATACCTGTGATACCCAAGCTCTGGATGTAAATTCTAAAAACCAGTGACTCTCACAGAACCAACAACATTTTAATATTCAACAAACCTACAGCTGGCACTAGACTTTGGACAAGACATACCTGGACCCCCAGCCTAAACTGGCCGCCCTTGTTCTATATCCTTTGCTTCCTTCATTGTGCTGCATATATGTATTCACTTGTCTGTATGGCTAGGTTTTTTTTTTTTTTTTTTTTTTAAATGACAGAAGCTGAACCTGGTTCATTTCTAGTTCTTTAATTGGGTACTTGATTTAGGTATTAGAAAGGAAGTTTATTAACTAAATGTTATAAATTTGGAAAAAAAGATTGTATTTTAGATAACTAAACCAAGTCCAGAATAATTATCTCACTGGTTATTACTTGAAAAGCAGATAGGACACCTAAGGCACATGCTGCACTAAGGTCAATGCGGTAGCTGCTCAAGATACAGAGCTCTCTGGTGCTTTTGAGAAAACAGGAATCCTTTGAACACGGGTGGCAGAAGTAAACATCATTCTGCAAGTATATTCTACTATGAGATCCTCTGCAGAAAAAATTTCCTCAGATACATCTATCAGGGTTAAACGTGTTAGTTCCCACTTGGTATCTCTGATTGAGTTGACAGACATACTCTTCGTGCTAGGACATTTAAAAGTATGCCATATGCATTAGGAAAGCACAAAAGAAATAGAGAATAGCCTTTGCCATTTCATGATGCAGAATTGGCAGACAGTATTAGTGAAAAATGATACTATGAACCAGGTGTGGTGGGTGGCACACGCCTGTAATCCAGCACCCAGGAGACTGAGGCAGGAGGATTGCTGCAAGTTGGAGACCAGCCTGGGTTACAAGTGAGCTCAAGGCCAGCCTCAACTGTGTAACAAGACCCTGTTTCAAAAAGATAAACAAACATACAAACTCTAACACTTTGAACATATCCCTCAGTGGAGAAGTGGAAGACTTTAAGGGTAAGCACTGCAATGTAATATAAACTTAAAGGTCTCTAGCAGTTTTGTTGAGTTATTCAGTAATTTGAAGGAGTTAGAGAAAGTATTCTGAAGAAAAGAATGGAGACAAGATTTTAAATAGGTAGGAAATTAAAATAGTAAAGATACTTTACCTCAAGATGTATCTCCTTGTGCGGAGGGCTTTAGACAACTGAATTGAGCCCTCAATTCTGTAATGTTTAAATACTCAAAACTCTTGCTCTTTATTTTCTCACATATTATTATAAAAAAGATCAGAAAGTAAACTTTAATTTCTCTGGTCTCAGTGCTTGAGCTGATGAAAATGAATATTTGAAAGTAAGACAACACAGATTTATGTGTTACCTCCATTCAATAGCATTCTCCAAAGACTTGAAGGTTTTAGGGCGACCCCGTAAGAAGTTCTGCATGCTGTTAAGTGCATCCATTGCTGTACCTGGATGTTAAAAATTTTAACCACAATATTTAACTTATTCTAAGCCAACTTTACATGTCTGTTCCCAATGACAAAGGAATACTAGTACCACATATTTAAAATGTATTATAGAAAAGTTATAAACATGTTAGAGCAACACAGTGAACCCCAATTGTACCTACTGCCCATTTTCAGCAGTCATTAACTCATGGCCAGTCTCATTTCATCTGTGTGCCCATTCTACTAAGCACAAATAGATACCTTTTAAGAAAATTTCAAAGAAGGGCCAGAGATATAGCTTAAAGGCACAGTGCCTGCCTAGCAAGCACAAGGTCTTGAGTTTGATTCCCAATACAAAAAAAGAAAATTCCAAAGACTAACATAGATGGCTTTCACTATGATCCTTAGCAACTTCTGCCTCCCAATATTTATTTCCTTGTATTTTGCCCCCATAGTGAACAGGACTTTATATATAAGGAACAGAGTGACTTCTCAATCTGCACTGTAAAATATTTACAGCTTTTTAAGTGGTTAAATGAAACTAGGAGATATACATATGGTTAAAATATTATGTACCCATAAAAAGATATTAATGAAAGATTTGATGACATGGAAAATGATACAATTTTTAAAAAAATACTAAGTTAAAGGAATGTATTTCAATATAAATGAAATTGACAAAAAAAGCAAAACAAGATAATAATCTACCCCGGATGTCTCCTGCAAGTCAATGATTTTGAATTGGTGGTATAAAGAAAACTTACCTTCCACAACATCAATCATGCACAGACCCAGGAGGTTTGGCACCAGGTTAGATGCTGCTGCGTGCACTGCAATAGCACCACCCATGCTATGTCCAATCAGCATAATTGGAGGAGGAAGATCTCCATACATAGCTTCAACCACATTGCCGATATCTCTGCAAAGAGAAGGAGAAAAAGTTGGTAATACACTCTCTGAGAACACTTAAAAAGTAGTTTTCTTTTCCAGACCCTTCCTTTGGTCTGTAACAATCCTGGGAGATGGCAAAGGTCTAAAGAGCTATTTCACAAACTTACCTAGGTAAACAAACCTCTTAATACATTCCCTAGTGTCTATGCAGATAGTCACACAACTATCAAATCTGACAAATGGCAGCTTAACAACAAAGAACTCAAATTTTCTGTTTTTCCTGTATAAACAAGACATTCCACACTTGTATTAGTTCATTTGTTTTTTTGAGACAGTGTCTCACTAGATAGTTTAGGTTGGTCTTGAACTCACTATGTAGCCCAGCCTGGCCTCGGATTTGAGGCAATTCTCCTGCTTTAGCCTCACAAGTGCTAGAACTACAGGTACACACCATCACACCTGCTCCATATATTTAATGTAATTATATAAACATGTATCTTTATTTTGATTCTAACTTTGAAGCTCTGGAAACATCATTTACCTCAGTTTTCCCATCAATAATACAATGAAGTTTGGAGTTTTTTTTTTACTATGCAATCTTGAATCAGTTAACTTCTCAGACACTGAATCTCTCACATTCAACATCTACAAAATAAAAGTAAGACTATTCTTTACTGCTGAAGATTACTTTGAGAATTGACTGCGAAATGAATGTAAGAATACCTTGAAATAGCAAAGCACTATACAAGCATTAATTATTACCTACAAATTCTTGTATATAATTGTTTGAAGGATGATGTTTATGAATCTATAGTGCTCTGCTAATTTTTATTGTGTTTTGTTCTAATCTTCAATTACAGTCAATCTGTTTAGCAAAGTCAAATTTTAAAGCTTTGAAAATGAGAAAATGAAGAACTGTGAATTTTACTTGCAGGCTTGCAGGAACAACAGATAGAAAAAGAACAATAAAGATGTGTTTGTAGAGACCATTAGCTCTACTGCTTTCCTTTGGGAATGGGTAATAGTGCCACTACATATTCAAATACTCCTACATTGTTAACTAAGTGTAACAAGTCAATACAGGAACACATACTTTCAGAGATGGGTTTCACTGTATTCATAATGGCAAAGGCAAAGTTTATTTACTTGCAGGAATTAATTTTTATAATCTCATTCAATTACACTGATGAACAGTGTAGCAGCAACAGACAGTATGAATGAGAGACAAAGAGCTCACCACATTTTATACACAAAAACAAGTAATAGTTGAACACTCCTTTGGAGTTAAATTTAAGGCTAAGATAGAAAGTAAAGCAGTTCAGGCAGTCATCTAAAGAGATCAATATAGTTAAGATAAAAAACCCAAGCTTCTTTCATACTATTGCTGCTTTTATACTAAACTCAAATATTTTTCTCTGAAATATGAATGATATGAAGGGTCAAAAAGTGAACCAATAGTATTTACTCAGTGCTGCTATGATTTGACCAGCTCCCTCAATGTATACACTAATGGTATTTGGAGTAGGACTTCTGAAATTGATTGGGCTAATCCATTCATCAACTAATGGATTATCATGAGAGTGGCTTTGTTAAAAAGAGAGCTCTCTATAGCTCACTTGCTCTGTGTCACCATCTTATGATGCAAGAAAGTAGCCCTGCCCAGATGTCAGCCCTATGCTCTGTGAGCTTAAATAAATTTCTGTTGTATTTGAATTACTCTCTTTGTGGCACTCAGTTGTAACAACAGAAAACAGACTAGCACAAGTAACTATTATGTGCTATGAGCTTTCTTGTGACATCATTTGTCACAAGACACAAACTATCATTTGGTTTGTGTCTGGATGTTCCTCCAAAGCCTCATCCAGTCATGGGGGTGTGGGGCCGGAGGTGGCAGACTTTTTAGCAATGATTGAATTTACAGTCTGTGATTGATTCATGGTCCAATACTGGGATTAAGTGTATGAAGTCTACACCCAGCTGAGGGCAGGTGGCCTGAATACAATATAGGACAGGGAAACAAACCTCTCTCTCTCTCTTCTTGCTTTTGCTATCTTCCACTGCCAAGAACTGTCGCCCCTCTGCCCTGTACCATCCTGTCTTGGAGCTAGCCAATTATGGATTAAAACCTCTACTGTGAGCTAAATAACTTTGGATATCAGGTATTTTGTCTCAGCAACAAGAAATCTAAGACATCCTTTAATGTAATTCAATTCTGTCTGAAACGGTTTTTATTACTATTCATAGGTAATGATACTGAGGATATATTTATCAACTTTAAGATTGGCCAAGTCAATTTCATTGGGTTTACCTGCATTTCTACCACGGTAAAAATAGCTGTATGTTTGCTGCCTCACTAAAGTGTATTTAAAGCTATTTCCCTCTGGCAGTGGGCACTATGGAGTCAAGGTAATAATATGAAGTCAAATCAATGATGTCTTTGCTCAGACTAATGAAAAATAATAGAAACAAAGATCAGATAACAAGTGATCTTTGGAGTAAGTGACCCAAAAAGAGATCAGTTTCTGAAAAACAAAAACAGATGTTCCAAGGTATGTAATTCAACATACTTGTATGAAAATGATAGAATTTTGGATTCATGCACCTGGGGGAAAAAAAAAAAAGAAAAAAAAGAAAATGATAGGATGGGGGGAGCTTCAATTAATCTAAATCCATGCTAAGTTTAATGTGGCAGACAAAAAAAAAAAAAAAAAAAGACCAAGGTTTAAAACCAGTATGACTGAATAATTTCCAGAATAATACTCAATCGTAAGACACTGAGTTGGAAGGTCTATATCAGCTTTATGTAGGAAGGCAGACAAGGCCTGAAACACAAATTATAACATCTATGCTTCTAACATCTAGAATAAATGTATTTACCCAGGTTAAAAGTAATCTGACTACTTTAACAGTTCTCGTAAGCCATGAGGGATGGCACATGCTCACAATTCAAGTACTCTGGATTGTAAGATTGGAGTTTGAGGCAGGAGGACTATAAATTTGAGCCCAGGCTGAGCAACTTAGCAAGATCCTGTTTTTAAAACAAAAACCTGGGGATACAGCACTGGGTTCAATCTTTAGTACTACCCCCACATCAGTGGTTCTCAAATATTAGTCATGGGGCTGTTTGCATCAGACAGTTCTACAGAGCTTCATCAAAAATACAAATGCCTAAATCCCACTGCTAAAAAGCAGATCTGGATTAGGGCCAAATCCTCTGCACTGTAAGTAACTTCTCAGGTGATTCTGATATGTAAGCAAGTTTGTGAACTACTGAATGGTACATGCTATATTCATCTTTTACTTTAAGACCCAGGGTATAATTAGTTATTGTTTAACACCCTGTCCTCATATTTCTGTAACACTGAACAAAGAAAGTAGGCAAAATACTTAACATACTCGTGGCATTTTGCATTTCCCAGGGAGGGTCTGTGATAGATATCTATATTCTATGCAATTCCATCAACAGAAGAACATTTTTCAAAAGCCTGTACAAACTAGACTTGACCAATTTTCAAGTGTTTTACATGATGACATATTAATAAAGATGCAGATTTAATTCAAGATTAAATTATAAGAATAAGGGCCAGGGATTTAGCTCAGTGGCATGAGCACATGCCTGGCAAGTGTGAGGTTGTGAGTTCAATCCCCAGTAATCACACACACACACATAAATAAACTAAAAGTAGAAAAGAGAAAATAGGAGTAAAATTTTCTGTTAATTATTGTCTTACAATCACACCAGTTGAATGAGTTGTATCATTATGATAGTGCTAAGAGGCAAACTTTATGTATAAGCAATATCTACTTACTTTGCCATTGTTTCTGCAGACAGATCTTCGAAATTCTTGACTTTTGTTTCACCTAAAAAGAAAATATTTCAAAATTAAAACCTCAAAGGATGGGGATTATAACAGCAAAAATACTCTTTTAAAGTCTCACTTGTGGATAATGAAATGGGTTTTTGTAACTTGATAAGACTGATTTATCAAGACTTTCCACATTATAGACAAATACTACCCTTAGCCACTCTAAGCACGATAATTACAGCAGCCTAATTAAGAAGTTAGGATTTTTCCCCAAAATGTCCAAATGGAGTATACCAGATTATTTTATGGCCACCCTAAAATATATATTTAGATTTGTTCAAAAGAGCTTGGTGACAATGTTACTGAGCCAATGGGTAATGAAGAACTTCACTCACCATGACCTCGTAGATCCAGAGCCACAATCCTACACTGAACTCTGCTAATGATGGCTGCCTAGGAGGAAAAGAAAAAGTAGTAAGGCACACATGGGGCAGCAAATTTTGCCCAGTGACCAATGCTAACTTCATTAAGTGTCCTGCCACCAGAACTCAAGGAACACACGAAAACTTCCCATTTTTAAGAAAACAAAAGAACGGTGATTCTTTTTTGGTACATGGTACATACTGTAGTTCTGTTCAAACTTTAAAATATGGGTTTTTCTACCAATATCTCACTTTATGCCTTAACTCTCCCTGGCCTTTTCTGAAACACAGAATTAAGTACCCGTCGGTAATGAATGACCCTCTGAGCTCTGAATTACCTATGGGCTTTATCCATATATCTCAGCTATCTTTCTCACTCTAACAAAAGAATTCCCTAGATAAGGACTGAGTCCGTTTATAATCTGGCATAGGACATCACTCAAACCTAAGTTAGATTCTTAAATTACATTTTAAAATCATGCAGAAATTCAAATCTGTTTCTACTTCTATTATCCAATTAATAAATATATTTAAAAATAACAATGAACCGAAATTCTACTAAGCTATCTGTTCCTGAAAGTTATTTGTTAATTTGGAGGAGTTATTTAATGCATTATAATGGGCAGTAAAATCTTGAATGCCAAGAAGAAATCCATGTAATAATATAAAGTGAAAGGGTAAAGGTTGCATCCAATTTGTTTGGCTGCCAAAAAAATAGAAGTAGGTTTATAAGACATTTTAAAAGTTAGAACTATGTTTACAAAACAAAATATACATTTGAAGTAACTGTCAATTCCAACTTTTAGCTTAAAATGATTACTCATATGTGACTTTCAGAAAACACTGACAAGCGTATTCAAATAGATGTTTAATTCACTTAATAAGTCTTTCTAAATTATACCTAAAAATCCAGCACCAATTGAGTAATAGGGTTACACAATAAAAAATAAAACAAACCAATAAATTTGGCATTGCCCTTATTCTCATATTTAAATTTAGCATGACAGAGAAAGGAAAAAACAACAACAACAAAACAAAACTCTAAGAAGTTATAGGAAATATACCCGTGTCCAGGTATTAACTCAACAGAAATTCTCATTTAAGTGAATTAAGGGGAAGGCTAAGGTTTATCTATATATTTTAGAATTCTCCAAGTGATTTTAATGTATAGAGAATATGAGGCAAAAGTGGGAAAAACATCCAGATGGTAATACCATGCCTAAGTATCTCGATAACATTTCACCTAATTATATCAGATAACCTCAAATTACCTCCCTGAGAAACAGGCTGAGAAAATATTATGGCAATTTTTATAGCAGACCAAATAGGTTCTGAAGGTGTATCAAATATTGGTGATGTGAAGCAGTAAGTATTCTCACAAACATATACCATCCTCAAATTCGTTTTGGCCAATTTCATAAGTGAAATGTGGTACTATGTTTCTTCTTTAAAATAATACTTCGTATCTCCTGCCCATTTTTCTACTGAATTGTTTTCTTAATGCTTTGCAGATTTCCCCCTTTTCTAAAAAATGATGAAAATATTAACCCTTTGCTTATATGTTGCACATATTTGAACTATTTTTTATTTAGCATCCAATTTGTGATTTAACAGAAGGTTTGGTTTTGGCAAAGTCAAATTATTCTTTCTCTTATAGCTTTTATTCCATTTGGCTACATTTAAGAAGGCTTGCCCCAAAATGTATGAATAGCCTTCTAGTTTATTTTTAAAATTTAGCCATTTTACTGCATTGTTCCTCTGGTATAAGAAATTAAAAGTATAAATAAGGGGCAAAATGTATAACAGGTATTGTGGAATAGGAAGAAAATGTTCAAATGAGCAGGGGAACAAGGGAGAGGGGAGGGGGAAGGAAATAAAGGAAATGTAAAAAACAATGAGAAGGGCTGGGGATTTAGCTCAGCAGCATAAGCGCCTGCCTTGCAAGTAGGCAGTCGTGAGTTCAATCCTTGGTACCGATAAAAACGAAAATGACAAAAAAAAAAAAAAAAAAAAAAAACAATGAGAAAAGGAGGAAAACATGGAAACAAAGCTTTGTAAATGGGGAGGGGAGGAGGTGTTGAAAGGAGGGTGGAGGATGGGGGAAAAGATACAAAGTTCCTATGATGAATATGATAATTATGTATACCTAAAATATACCAATAAAATCTGACTAAAAAAATAAAATCTAGCCATTTAATCTACTTGGATGCTGTTATTTTTAATTGTATAGTACATTCATTTTTGTATGTGGGCTTATTTTTTTCTTCCAATACCATACTATGTGATAAAGCATTTTAGGATATGTTTTGGTATCTGAGATGGCAAAATATCTGTCACTTGCTCTTCTTCAAAATTGTCTTATCACTAGGCATTTATCCATTTGTGTGAATTCAGCTTGTTGATTAACACTCATTAAAAACTTCACTGAGATCATAACTAAGCCAGACTGGCATAGAAATATGATTTCTCTTTTTAGATTTTCCTCTAATTACTATACAGTTTTGTTTTCTTTATAAATGCTTATAGCTTTAAAGAGTCTAGTGCTTATAGCCTAAGGATTTTTTCCAGGTAGTTTGTATTTTTGTTGTTTTAATCATTTCCCTGTATTTACAAAGTGCTAATATATAGGAAAAATGATTTTATTTAAAAGTTGACTTTAGGGCTGGGGATTTAGCTCAGTGGCATAAGTGCCTGCCTTGCAAGCAGGCAGTCGTGAGTTCAATCCCTGGTACCGATAAAAACGAAAAAGACAAAAATAAAAAAATAAAAGTTGACTTTATAAACAATTGTTATTTCCTTTGATTTTGAAGGAGACAATATTTATAGTAACTGCTGAAGTTCTTCCTTTTCAGCTTTTTTTTTTTTGGTCTTGAGACAAGGTTTTGCTATGCAGTACAGACTGGCCTTGAACTCACTTCGTAGCCCAGGCTGGCCTCAAACTTGCAGCAATCCTCTTGTCTTGGTCTCCCCAGTGCTGGGATTATAGGCGTACACCACCGCACTTGGCCAGATCTTTAAAAATCTGTTTTTTTATCTTGTTACTTGGTTAGAACTTCCCTTATGTGATTTTACAAACTTTATAAAAATCAGGAAATTTTTTATCTATTCCTCCTTGAAACGAGTTTTCAACATGAGCTGGTACTAGATCAAGTGTTTTATGGACATCAAGTGAGGTGAGAGGAGAATTACAATGATAGATAATGATGAGTCACTCTTAAATCCCTAGAATAAAACCTACTCGATCACAGTTGATTATTACTTTACTACACTACTAAATTTAATCTGCAGCAATTTTATTTAGTATTGTTTATCTGTTTATAAATGAGAGTGGCTTAATTTCCTAGCACAGTCATTTCTTGGTTTTACTATTAGACTGATTACCTTTAAAAATAAGTTGGATAGTTTAAAATAGTATCATTGCTGAGCAACTATTCCAAAGACAATAACCATTGTTATTTTCCAATCATCTTGTTTTGAAATTATGTATCATTTTTATTGTTTTGTTTTTTTCTCTTTAAAGAAAATAAATTAGTAGTTTTTTTACGTAGTAGAGAATTTAATTTTTTTCATTCTTGAGAGAAATTAACACTATATTAAATGCTTTAAAACTGAGGGATGGACTCTCCCCTGCAGTGGATGTACAGAGCCACATACCCTATGCACACTGACTATGATACATCCTGCACAACTATCTTCTAGTACTGATTAAGAAGTAAGATATTTCCATGATTTTTTAAAAAAAAAAAGACCCAAAGAAGTTCATGACCACCAAACCAGCACTTCAAATATTTCTCCAGGATATCTTAGAAAGGGACAATTGAACTAACCATGACAGAAGGTCTAATAGAATAAATATACTAAGTAGCATGAGCAGTCAAGTAGAAGGGAAAGAAAGGGAATCAGCAACAGGAAAATAATGTAAAAACAGGATTAAGTCAACACCTTTCAGTAATAATTCTCAATGTGAGTGGTCTTACTTCTCCAGTCAAAAGATACAGACTGGTAGAATGGATCAAGAAACAAAGGGAAGTAAGGAAAACGAGATGAAAAACAAGAATTAAGATGTGTTGTGTACATGTACCAACTCTACACAAGGAATGTAAACAGTATGTATTGCGAACATGTATGAAAAAGGGGGAGTATCAAGAGATAGATGAAGGGGTGATGGAGGGAAGGCACAGGGGATGAAACAAAGGAATTAAACTGTACTAGGTACATGTACCAATTCTCCACAAGAAACAAAAACATTTATAAATATGTATAGAGTACACCACAAACACGTACTCAAAAAAATTCCAATGGCATGCTGTATACAAGAAATACATTTACACAAAATAAATCCATAGACAAAATCAAAAGATGGAAAACAATACTCTATTCAATGGAAAAATGAAAACAAGCATCAGTAGCTATCGTATTTTCAAGCAAAGTGGACCTCAAGCCGAAGATGATCAGAAAAGGCAAAAAAGTTCACCACATATTGGTTTCAGGAACAGTTCAACAGGAAGAGATAACTGTTAACATATAGGCACTAAGATCCAGGAGAACACGGCAGACAAATAACAGCAGCAAGGGAGGCTCTCTGAGATACCCAGCTTAGAATCCAGGAGTGGTGCTGTGTGAGGAGTCCTAAGCAAAAGGAGATGTACCCTGCCGACCCAGGACGAACTAAGCTGAGAGAAACCACCTGGAAATGCAATCCTGATGCTGTAACAGGAAGAGATAAAATCTCAGCGCAGAAGCTGGATCCCGCACCACTGGAAGCCGCGATTTGAATTTCCTGCTGCTGCTGCTGCGTCCCAATTGGCACAGCAGGGAGAGAGACACGCGAAAGCTCTGAGTGGGAACCAGCGAACCAAACAGTGTTGAGAGCAAGACTGGCAGAGAGCCCTGCATCGACCTGTGGTAAGTGAGAGAAATGAGGACCCTTCCATAGTGGAAGAGGCTCCAACAGAGGACATTCTGGGACTGAGCAGACTAGCCAGAACTGGATGCTGCAGTGACTTTAGTTGCATATTCTTTTTTTTTTTT